TCTCTCTCTCTCTCTCTCTCTCTCTCTCTCTCTCTCTCTCTCTCTCTCTCTCTCTCTGTGTGTGTGTGTGTGACCAGGCGAGCTATTTCGCTATCGCCACAGACCTCGACATTTGAGAACTCGTCGACTGTCAGTTTTCCTTAGGTGGAGGCATCATCGGAGCAAAAGCGTGCGAGCACCATCCCACGAAACCAAAACTCTGCTCCATTACGTAACTTGACCGGTGTCTAACCGATTAGAGACCGTCAGTGCGCTTTTATCAAACCATGGTTGCTCTTGTCAATTCGCCCTTTCAAAATGGAATGCCAATGCTGGGGTGTTAAATGCTTGGTTCAACACTTGTGTGACCTATAAATAGCGCAGGAAGTAACAATCGTCCAATGGAAGAATGCCCTTCGGAATATCCGACATAATCACTGCCTCCGGGTGAGGATTAAGGGCGCATATCGAGAGAGATTGGAAGATAATAACTACCCCCGAATGAGAACGAAACCCAGATCGCGACATATTGACACTTGAAACGAGAATCTACCGCCACTGTATCACGCTAGAACACAGATCTACTTCGACCTTCAATCTAATGCCAATCCAACACAATGAATCAATCATAAACCTTACGTGCTAAAAATAACTTCGCTTTATCTCCTTCGTTTGAATCAATCATAGACCTTACGTGCTAAAAATAACTTCGCTCGATCTTCTTCGTTCGCAAGAAGATCTCTCTCTGTCGATCTTCTTTTCGAAAACCTCCTATTCAAACTCTGTTTAAATAGGTCGACGAGATTAGATAGGCCTTCGCTCAGTCTTGCGACGATTACTCGGCCGGAGGGCATACTCACCGAGTCACCGGAAGACCTTTTCGACTGAACTCTGGACGTGATTGTAGTCAGATGAATCCAGATCTTGCCGTAATTGCAGGCAAATGCTTTCAGGAAAGTGCTCGCGTGAGTATGCCCTACGAGATGCGCTCGCCGCCCGATAAGCTTGCCTGCCTTCAACCTCTCGGTCGAACTGATAATTAGATCAGATCATGCAGCAACAACTAGTACCCGCTAGACACAGCAATCATGGTGCGGACCAGATAGACGAGTATTTTAACGGATCCTCGGAGATCTTCTATAAACCTCTGTTCAATCTTCGTTTAGTACGGGCATAAGACGCAAACAAGAGACTTTCCTAGACTAACCTGGTGCACAATTAGGGCCAAGTTCGATCGGAAAGTCTCAGTACGCCATAACAACCCTTCGTCAGAACTCCTGGTTCCTATTCCCATGAGCTTAATCGAAGGTCCCTCGGGATATCCGTTAAAATTGGAACGATACAGAGAAGATTAGTTGGCAACTTGGCATGGCCCCTGCGTAAAGGATGACACGCTGTAATCGAGAAATCAACCTAACCGAAGCTTTCGATAAAGCTTTACGTTCAATCTCACGATTAAGAAATCAAAAAGACATTAGATATGCCGGAGCATCAGCATCCGCTACACGGCGTCCAGTGTACTGAGAGAAGATAACACATGAAAAAAAAATGGACCTTTGCAAAACGCAACGCCAGAATCTGATGTTAGGATTCGGCCAAATGCGTTGATGTTCGAAATAGAAAAGACTTGACTTCGGTCAAATGCGAGCACAAGTACCAGAATGTGAGATCAACCCTTTATTAGACATGCCTCGCAACAGCCTTCAGGCTTCAGCAGCATGTCAACGCCTCCACAAAAGAATACGCCTGCTGCACGCTGTCGCTTGCGAGCATCAGATCCGTCGGGCTTTCGACTTGCGTGTCAGCCCTACAGTACCGAGTGACCCTTTCTCTCTCCTGTGTTTCCCCCTCTCCTGCGTCCCTAGACGCTTCCCTTCAGATTCAAACTCCGGAGGAATTCCACCATAGCCGATCTGGCAAACCCGGCCAAACCGTCGTACGGCGGATAGACAATCGACCTCTAACCCATGCCGGCGATGCCGCTGCCGCACTCGTTTCCTCAGCTTCCCTGAACTCAACTCGATGCGCCGAGTGTTTGCAACTGTGCCGCCCGAACCTGGAACAAACTTGGAGATACTCTCTTTCCCTCTCTCTCTCTGCAAATCTCTCTGAGGAGTCCGAGGGCCTCGCCACCTTCTCTGAGGGGAAGCACTTTTTTTCTTCATTTTTTTAATACTTATTATTTATTTTTATTTTTATTATTATCCTTCCACTAGTACCTCCCAGACTGTTTTCGCCGACCCTGAATTTCACTGCGCTCCGAGTTTTGCCGAGCCTGGGTCCCACTCCATTTTCTTTATGGCACTCTCGCGGGAAGAACAGAAAAGGGATAATTTGCGAAATACCCCTATAAGTTGAGATATATGCCACAATGCCCCTAAGAGATGAGGGTATGGGGGAATGCCCTTTTGGGGCTAATTCTTTGCGTTTAGCCCCTGTCAGGCCCATGTGCAAGTTTCCAATCTGGACCGCGTCATCAGGGCCTGGGCGTGCAGCCTACCCGGTTTGCCATCCATACCGAGTGGGCAACTTTGAGCAATACCCAGGCCCGTTGGAGGGGCAGTTTCCCGCCATGTTTCGGCAGCTTCATCCATCGTCCTCCCTGCTGAGGTTTTCCATCTCCAGCTCGTCCTATGCCACGTCACCATCTCTGAAATACTCCTGCTGGCCACTCTGAGAACTCTCTCTCGGAAAAAAAGCTAAAGAGAGGCAGGAGGGGGGGGCCTGCGGCCGCGAATGCGCAGGAGGGGGGGGCTGCGGCCGCGAATGCGTTAGCGCTGCGCTCCTGAGCGTCTCTATGCAGTACGCTGAGATACTGTTACCGCTCCAAGGCACTGGCGCCGAGAAGTGATGGCGCTCCGTTTCGTGGCAGTTTAGTGGCGGTAGGGAGTAGGGTAAAGCGACGCGTGGTAGAACGGGAAATTTTCATCGCCAAGCCCGCCCTACCAGGTCCCTGGCTATGGTTCCATCGCAGGGAAAAGTGCCATGTTGTCGAGCGCATCGGTCCGGCACTACTCAAGGGCAGCGCGGAACCCTCCCGGCCGCGTCACGCAGGAGTTGGATCTTAATCCTCGTTGTGATACCTACGTGGAGTTTCCGCAAGCCGCTCCGGCCGAGTGCGTCAGCCATACCTCTCGCGAGCCCCTACGACAGGATAGGGCCTACGCGAGGCACGACTTACCTCCACCTTACGGGAGTTGTCACCTCCCTTCAGTAGGCGTATCCCTGTCGAGCTACCAGTCCACAGTACGAAAGTTGATCAGTTGCAATCGCAGAGGTGGACCAGCCGAGGGCGTTTCTCGTTCGCTGTAGCATTGGGGGGACGCGCGGTACTACGCCTCTAACGGACCCGTACGCGAATCAACATCTTGGGGGGCTGAGGTCCCAAGCGCGACTCATCGTCGGTCGACTAGGACGTATCCCACACGCCACGCGCACACCATTATAAAGAACATCAAAATAAAACACACACACAACATACGCACGAAACGACACAACACAAACAACGCGACAACGCTCCTAGTCCCTCGGTAGCCATCCCATAACTTTCTGATACGGAAATCAGATAGGCGTCTGCGCGCGAAACTTAGTATAAAATCGCGCGGTCGCAGAGCCTACTCATATCAACTCGCAATGCAAACGTGCGCAAGCAGTCGCACTGATGGCGTACTATGTAGCGCCCATACTCAAGCGGTCCCTCATAGATCCGAGTACCGCTTATGACACTCAAGTGTCAGACTCGAAGTATCGTGAGGGTCTACTCCCTCACGATATTGCACGGTTGAAGGAATAGCCGTGTGGCCGCCGCGAGACCTCAGGCCTTTAGCTTGAGTGTCTCGGCAGGCAGGGCGA